CACACACATCCGTGTGCTGTCGCAACTTTTAGTAACTAAAAGCGAATAAAGCAAGAAACGTCAACAACAACAATATGATACGATATATGTATATGATATATGAATATCGATATATATGTGGATTATGAAAGTATTTTAATAAACTTTTAATAAATATTTTAGCAGAAATAAAACTACAACAAAAACAAGAAAAGCGCCAGCTTAACACACGAAATCAGCTAAACACACAAAAAAAGGAGACAAAAAGGAAAAACTTTGTGTTTTTTTCAAATTGGCTTGTTTTTTTCCTGGCGGGTTTTCGTCTGGGGTCTCAACGCTTCGCTGACTTTCAGTTTATTTATGTGCATAAATATTATTGTATTCAGCTGCCAGCATCGCTACATATTTATTGATAGCCGGAACTTGATTAATCTGCCAATGCCTATCTGAATGCTCCGCCCTGCCTGGAAATCTTTTGATTGGTATAAATGATGATGCCTGCCTGCCGGCCCGTCTGCCGTCTGCCGTCCCGCCTGCCAGCTGCTATTTTGTGCCTAATCAAGTGGTCCAGCTTTAGCTTATCAAAACCAATCGCACAACTTCATCTGGCCCTTTATTAGCTGTAGCTAGCATTTTTTATATACTCTGCAGTTGAGCATTTGGATTATGTTATGTGTGGGAATAGGTAAGAAGAGATGGGAAAATACAGTGAGTGAGAGAGATTTGAATATGTTAATAGGTCAAGCATTTGAGGAAGTGAGAGTAGAGACGGAGAGAGAGTAGAGAGAGAGAGAGATAGAGAAAGATAGAGAGAGAGAGATAGAGAGAGAGATATAGAGAGAGAGAGATAGAGAGAGATATAGAGAGAGAGAGATAGAGAGAGAGAGATAGAGAGAGAGATATTTGAGTATATAGAGAGCATATGCCATTATATGAGTAATGATGGATATGTTCTGATCAATCCTTGATATATAATAGTTAAGTTAAGTTAAGTTAAATTATGATTTAAGAATAGATCATCGAAGCATATGGAAATAGAACATATATTAATATATTGTATATAATATATATATTGTTTTATGATCTATTCTCATTAAAATATCACATAGAATATGTTTATGATATACTAATCTGGAATGGGATGAATACATCAATGTCAACTGCTCTCTCTCTCTCTCTTCAAAAGTTTGTTATCTTATCCAGAGATATCAGTAACATAACTCAATATTCTTAGTTAACTTGTCTCAATTTTGTTAAGGTATCTCAGCAGTGACTTCAACGAAAAAAAAAAAAAAAAAAACTTTTGCCTCCTTCCCAAAGGGCGTCAGCTTTCAGCCACAAGCTGCGCACTTAAGTATGCTTGGCACACACTCACACACAAACACAACTGATAGCACGTCTCTCTCTCTCTCTGTGTGTGTGTGTGTGCTCATTTGTGCGTATGTGTAGCACAGCGCCCCACATTTAAATCCTTATGTATTGTGATGTGTGACAAAAACGAAAAGAAAAGAAAATTTAATTTGACAAATTTTATGCAGGCATTTCTCAAAGCGGAACTTGAGCAAACTGTCATTACGTATACGACGCATTGTTCCACGCATTTGGCTCGACTGCTTATTGATTTTGATAAACAATATTTGATTCTCGGAGCAAGCCTTTCGTGCGTGGCACCGAATTGCCAGAGAGTCGCACTGTCGTACGAAAATCAATTTCGAGCTGTGCCGCGTGCCTCGATAAGTGAGCTTCATTCCCAGGAGCTTGCTGACTGCCACAAGCATTGCGCAACATGCAACGTGAGCGTCAAATGCCAAACGCCCACTTTTGCAGAATTTAAACATCAAATGTGACCCGCTAGCCCGCAACAGCAGGCGACCCAGCAAGCCTCAACTTTTGCCTTGTTCTCGTTTCCTTTCAGCTGCTGTGCCATGAAGTAGGCTATCAGTGCCAAAAAGGGGAGGGAGGAGGGTGGGCGCGGTGACAGCAGAAGGCGTAGCAGCGGCAAACTTTTAGCTTTAATTACTTTGCGCTCGGCTGTGCATTTAAAGAGGCGCCCAAGTGACTCATTTCATTTGGGCACGTAATGTCAATGAACTGAGGGCGCTGATAATAAAAGCATGATGCCCCAACAGCCAAGTGAAAATGAAAATGGAAAGGAAAACGAAAACGAGAATGGAAACCAATTAAATGTGGCTTTAAAGAGCTGCAAAGCTCAGCAGATATATTTTTTATATACCCTGTAGGCCATAATAAAGATGACGCGAAAAGAATGCATTGCAATGGCTAAAAGATTGAAAGGTGTTAAGTGCCAGAAAGGTATTTATATGGCAAAAAAGCTGTGAAGTTGAGGGAAAAGAGTTTTCTTTTGCTGTTAACGAGTTTATTCAGAAAATTAATTTTAATACTAATGAGTGTCATCTTAGCATAAAAACCGTTTGGAATATTGAAAAATTATTTTGCATATCAGTTGGTATCAATTTTTTCAATATTTTTTTTAGAGAAGTTTTAATGGTCAAAATCGATAATAATCACTTGGTAATATCTGGCAGATTATCACACGCTTTTGAAATTATCAAACTATTTAGAAAATTGCTAAAATTGTTTCAATATAAATATCGAATACCTTTTTAGAGATTTCCTTGCGTTTTCAAAAACCGATAAAAATCGATTTACGAATTTCCTTTCAATTTTGCAGGTTACACCGTTAACACTAGTATGCTTAATTTAAATAGAGTTTGAGCTAACTTATTTGACTCTGGTATATGTAGAAGCGAGACAGAAAATACATGTGATTAGTTAGGATAGTTCGGATAGTCAGGATAGATAGTTAGGATCTTTTTTTTTTATAATATAAATA